TCCGCTTCATGCACATCCAAGGAGGAAGGTTATACATACATAGAGTCACGGGCCAGGTGCTGTGATTGCTGCTCTGCTCCCCGAAAGGATTAATGCCATCCGCGCTTAAAGCAAACCATACATTCCTTGGGTCCTTTGCAAACTCATCCCAATACTTTCTCTCGATTTTTCTCCACTGCGACCCGTCAGCGGGTGCTCTCAACTTCCCATCTTTCTTCCGGTTCTCACTGTGCCATCGCATCAACTTGGCATGCTCTTCGTTTCTGAACAGACGTTTCAACCGTGGTATTATAGGAGCATACCACATCACCTTCGCAGGAACCCTCTTCCTGGGGGGCTCACCGTCAACATCACCAGGGTCATCTCGTCTGATCTTATACCGCAATGCACCGCATACCGGGCATGCGTTCAGATCCTTGTATGCACCGCGGTAGAGGATGCAGTCATTAGGGCATGCATGTATCTTCTTCACCTCCAATCCTAGAGGGCATACGACCTTCTTTGCTGCGTATGTACTATCGGGCAATTCGTTATCCTTTGGAAGCTTCTTCTTCAATATTTTCAGTAGCTTCTCAAATCCTTTGTCAGCCACAGCATTCCCTGCCTTCCACTGCAGCAATTCCAGTACAGTACCAAGCTTTGTGTTGCCATCTTCGCAATTGGGGTACAACCCTTTTTTGTGATCCTTTAACATGCGATCGAACTTCAGCTTCTCCTTTTGACTTTCGCATTGCATCCTTGCATCGACAATGACCCGGCGGAGATCATCATCATCGGGCACATCGTCTGGTTCCTCTTGATCTTCAGCAGCTTCACCTGTTGCAGCATCATTGGGCACATCGTCTGGTTCCTCTTAATCTTCACCAGCTCCCCCCGTTGCAGCATCATCGTATTCAGGGGGCACATAGTTGTCATCGTACTCTTCTTCTTCGCCGTCTTCCATCATAACCCCTATTTCTTCGTGCCTCGTCCAAACATTATAGTGTGGCATGAAACCCTTGTAAAGCAGGTGGGAGTGAAGGATTTTCCGGTTAGAGTAAGACCTCGTATTCCCACATTCAGTGCATGGACAACACATAAAACCATTCTGCTTGTTTGCCTCAACCGCATCGAGAAACTCATGCACGCCCTTAATGTACTCGGAGGTGTGTCTGTCACCGTACATCCATTGCCGGTTCATCTGCGTGCATTATATATAATTAAGTGTCCAAATTAATAGAAGTTCATCATCACATTAAAACCAAAGTGCATACATAGTTCTCATCTAACAACATATAGCTCTCCAGAGCATCTAATTAATTAAACCATACATTGAAACTATGTAAAACATTTCAATGCGAAAACAAATGCGATCATAATCACAACCAAGGTAACAATTGATCCAACGGCATAATGATACCAAGCCTCGATATGAATGGCATATTTTCTAATCTTTCTAATCTTCAAGCGCATTGCATCCATCTTGATCTTGTGATCATCGACGACATCCGCAACATGCAACTCCAATATAATCTTCTCCTCCTCAATTTTTTTTATTTTTTCCTTCAACAAATTGTTTTCTTCTTCAACTAAATTTAACCTCTCGGCAATAGGGTCGGTTGGCATTTCCGATTCACATACATCCTACATAAATAAAATCTATGTCACGTTGGTCGGCATAATTTTCATAAACAATAAATGAACCAATAGTTATAAAGATAATATATATACCACATCCGAATCATAGATAGGACGAGGGCCGACGGGGGCGGATACCAAAACCATCGCACTATATAAGATGCAATAATAAAAGTAAGAAAATAATATAAGTATCTATGTAAACATACAAGTAAGAATATTTTCCTTTCAGAAAGAAGATAAGAACAAGAGGCTCACCATGGTGGTGCCGGCGATGAGCTCGGCGCGGGTGATCGACGGCGGTGAAGACGGGGACGGGGCGTGACGGACTGCTAAATCTAGACAAATATTGAGGAAAATGGAGCTTGGAGGTCAAGCTTGGAGAGGAGAAAGCTTAAGTAGTGTGGCTCGGGCATTCCGTCGAACACCTTGTGTGCATAGGAGGTGAGCTAGAGCACCACCAAGCCCTCTCCCCCTCGGTCAGAAAAAATAGAGCAGTGTGCTCTGCTCTTACGCGAGGGGGTATATATAGGCACCTCATTGGTCCCGGTTGGTGGCATGAACCGGGACTAAAGGGGAGCCTTTGGTCCCGGTTCAACCCACCAACCGAGATCAATGGTGGTGGACCAGGAGCGAGGCCCATTGATCTCGGTTCGTCCCTCCAACCGGGACCAAAAGGTCCAGATGAACCGGGACCAATGGCCCACGTGGCCCGGCCGCCCCCTGGCTCACGAACCGGGTCCAATGCCCCCCATTGGTCCCGGTTCTGGACTGAACCGGGACTAATGGGCTGACCCGGCCTGGACCAAAGCCCTGTTTTCTACTAGTGATATAGCCCCCGAAGGGTGTCTTCGAAGGGACACGAGGCAACTGCCTCCTTTAGAAAAAGTAGGGATAAATATGATTAATTAAATCCTGACATGATCAAGTAGTAAATATCTATAGCTAATTACTCCCTCTGTTTCTTTAGTATGCATAAAAAAGAAAATTAAAAGTCAAACTTCCTAAACTTTGACTACATTTGTAGGGGAAAACATCTAGTACATTGTAATATTAAATAAGGAGTTAAATACACTACAGGTGCCCTAACTTGTCCGGCGCGGTCAGTTTGGTGCCTAAACTTGAAAAATACATAAAAGTGGTGTCGTAACTTGTCTGGGCGTTCAAATACGGTGCCTCTGGACGTATGCCGCCATATGGCGTGACCGCGTGGCATGCCAGCGTGTTGCCGGGCCACATGTCAGTGGTTGCAGGCGCGACGCGTGCTGTTTTTTTTACAGGAATGCCCTTGGATTTTAATTAATTCTCGCAAAAAATACCCTTGATTTTAATTAATACTGACAAAAAATATCATAAAGCGAGCGTGCAGGGAATTCAAACATGGGACATCCTCGTCGCCTGACAATCGAGCGGACCAGGCGGCCACGGTCTGGTTTGCTCTTAATTATCAGCTAACAATTTATATAGATGATTGCACGTATCGCTCTGCACATGCTTCTACTGGAGTAATTTTATTTCTATTTATTTCCAAGTTACTATCTTATTTTTCTTCAAGTGAAGTTTCTGTTTAGTTTTCATGATACATAAATTTTTCCATATGAGAAAATAAAATAATTATTAATATGAAATGTTTTTTATTTTATATCTCTATTCTATTTCCATCACTGTGTACTTTGAAGAGATAAAAATGATTTTTTTTCTAAAATTGATGTGGAATTAAAAAGTTAAACTTATATTAAAAACACAGTGAGCATTTCCTGAAATAAACGTTCACGTTCACATTCATTTTCATTTTTCATTTTCATATTATTTTAGAAAATGCTCATCATGTTTCTTGAAAATGTTGAATGCATATTAAAATAACATTGTGTAATACTATTCTTAAATTTCTACAAACCTGCTTAACATGTTAGTACAGTTTTAGAAATTATTATTGTCACACAATAATATTTAATACATGTTGAACAGTTTTTAAAATACAATATTGTCAATTTTAAATAATTTTTTATTTAAAAAATAGAATGAAGATACACAATAATTGTTTTTGCTTATGGTCCTCAATGAGGATGCATAAATTTACACAATAACTTTTAATATACATTCAACTTTTTTGTCGACATTAATTTTAGAAAAAAAATCATGTTTATCTCATCAAGTTACACAATAATGAAAATAGAATAAAGATGTAAAATAAACAATAAATGCATATTGATAATTATTTTATTTTTTCATATGGGAAAACTTATGTATCATGAAAATTAAACAGAAACTTTGCTCAAAAAAACCTGAAGCAGTACTTAAAAAAAAACTGTAGAAAACATGGGCAAAGCGATACATGGAATCGTTCATATAAGTTGCTTGCTAACATTTAAACATAAACCAAAGTGTGGCCTCTTGGTGCGCTGTTTGATAGGCAACCAGCAGGTCCGTGGTTTGAATTCCCTTCACGCCAACTTGTGTTTATATTTTTGTGAGAATTAATTAAAGTACAAACGCGTTCCTGTAGAAAAAAATAGTGTGCATGCAGTGTCCGTAACATTTTTTTTCCAAGAATTAACTAAAGTTCGGAGACATTCCTGTAAAAAAAAGACTACACACAACTCACAACGCACCCGCAACAACTGACATGTGGACCAGCGACACGCTGGCATGCCACCCGGGCACTTGATACGACGGCATACGCCCAGAGGCACCGTATTTGAACGCCTAGACAAGTTACGGCATCACTTTTGTGTATTTTTCAAGTTTAGGCACCAAACTGACCGTACCGGACAAGTTAGGGCATATGTGGTGTATTTAACTCTTAAATAAGTATCATTAGATGCACTCTTAAACATGTATTTGTGTTATATTTATTTGATACTATTTTTGTTGATACTTTCCTCGCTAAACTTGATCAAACTAAACTATGTTAAATAAAATAATGCGCACTACATTAGGAATCGAGGGAGTATTATTTGAGTTCCTTTTAAATTAGCCATGCTCTAAGAAGGGCAGACAATCTAGCATAGCCAGCAGAGGTAATCAACAAACCTACAGCCTCTTTTCCTTAATCTTAGCAATAACTTATCACCTTATTAATAGCTGGCTAACCCTTTTCTCGTACGCAAGTTAAACGTAGCAGGCTAAGTTTGTTGCATATATCTAAAATCTTGGGCTAGACACCTGGCGTTTGCTGGCACTCTGCCAGCCGCAGGCATTGGTTAATCTAACTCTAGGTGTTGTTTCTTTTTGTGGTTTCTGCGACGTTCTCTTTAAACGTTTGCCCCTCTGTAAATTGCGTTCTTTCACCATCTCTTCTATAAGAAAAGGCAGTGCTTCTGCCGGTTTCTAAAAAAAAAAAATCTAGGGTCAGCAGCACCCGATAGCACCACCCACGAACGATGGAAGCAGTAAACATGTCCGCCGCCGCCGATTGGTCTGGCCTACCAATGGCGGCGCTGGATGTTCCCAGCCTCGTCCGTTCCGGCGCCGTCTGCACGTCCTGGAGCGACGCCTACAACACCTTCCGCCTCCCCGCGCTGAAGCAAGCGCCGTGCCTGCTCTACGCCTGCGACGAGTACGGCCCCAACTACGCCGCCCTGTACTGCCCCTCCACCAACGCCACCTTCCGCGTCCCCTACCCGGGTCCCCCGCACGAGAAGCGGAGCTTCGTCTTCTCATGTCACGGCTGGGTGTTCGCCACCGACGAGGTCGGCGACCCGTACCTCCTCAACCCCATCACCGGCGTCCAGGCCGCGCTCCCGCCAGTCAAGACGATCATGGTCCGCGGTGAGAACTTCTACGACCATGAAGGCAAGCATGTCTTGGACCTCGAGAGTGAGGATGAGAACGGAGATCCGAAAACCGGCATCTTCTGGGCACGAGAGGCGGAGTATGCCCGGGTCGCCATCTCCCCCGCAGCCGAGGTGACCGCATGCACTGTCCTGATTATGCATATGACGCGTTTTACGCTCTTGTTTGCCAGGCCGGGCGACAAGCGCTGGACGTCGCTCCCCGACTTTGAAACCTGCATCAAGGATGTTCTTTATAACGACATGGACGGCTTGTTCTACGTTCTACACAATAAAGGTTCCATCCATGCTTTGGATCTCAATGGATCTTCGCCGTCGGTGACCAAGATCACGCGAAACGTGACAAGAGCGAGTGTTGCCAATATGTACCTCGCCGTCATGCCGTCGGGCCAACTCCTGCAGGTGTGGAGGATGCAGAATAACATAGATGTTCCGCTCAAGAATCATGCGTCATACAAAGACGTGGTGCGCGTCGCGCTCCAAGATTGCATTGATTTGGCAAACAAGAATGACAGCGACAAGCTCAGTGAAACCGTCACCGATGACGAACAACAGATTGACGTTGAGGAGGAGGAGCTGCGTGATAATGAGGTCAACACAACGGAAGTCCTGGTCTTCAAGGTTGACGCAAATAGGCAGAAGCTGGTAGAGCTTCGGGACATTGGAGAGTACACAATCTTCCTTGGATTCAATGCCGCTGTCTGCCTTTCGACTAAGGACACAACATTAGAAGCAAACTGCATCTATCTCACGGACGATGTCGACTCTCCATCCTATCACCCGATGTTGCGGAGAGATCTTGGTATATGGAACATCAAGAAGAGAAGTATGCAGAAACTTGGGGATGCGTGGCCAATCATGCATTCTTGGCTAGATTTACCGGCTCCAATTTGGATCACACCAAGTTTAGCATGGACGGCGTGCTTGGCGCCGCCAATTGCAGGGAGCGCGGCGACCACGGCGCCGCATGCGAGGAGGAGGAGTGGACGACGCCGCGTTCGACAACGTCGATGAGCCCAATGCTGGCGTGGACTCATGAGCAGGGTCACACGCAGGGGTGTCGACAGCCTAAGATGCCCGTCGATCGGACGTCAGACGACGACTGCGGGGCGGGATGGGGCGGCTGTTTTTAATTAATTAATTTATTTTTGGGCTGGCGTCGGGACGATAGGTAGAACAGCTGTATGTACGCCTATCGTCGGGCGAACAAACGAAAGTGAACGCGTTTTGTCAAAGGTCAATGTTACCCTTTTTGTGGGTTTTGGGGTATCCAAGTGGGGCTTTTTTATCACACCCAGACTATTGTGCAAAACGATTTAGAATATGTGATCCAGTTGCAACCATTTCATACGTAAAATTTTGCATCGATGTCACTTTTTCTTTGTTTGATCTATATACTAGCACATATGCCCGTGTGTTGTAACAAGGTAAAATATTTTATTGTTTGACTTTGAGTAATTGACCTAAAATTTTAATTAGTAGTAAAAATAGGTTAAATTTTTTAGACATACACTCTTTAAATCTTTATAAGGAAAAAAAGAGTCAAAACAATGATTGAGAAATACACCTGGCTGGTAACTTAATCTCATATGAAAATGCCAAAGGTCGCATATGGGGCAATCCTAAAGACTCAAATCTTCAAAGACAAACCATCCTTCGGCACTACCAAGATCTGTGCACAGATGCAGTCATTCAATTGCAAAGGCGCAGCTTAGGTAAATACCTTCACGTTGCAAGGAATTTATCATATCTTCGATATCCTTCTTGCAAAATTCTTTTGTTACAGTTGAAAGGATCGCTTGCATATTTCAATGTGTAAGCTCTTTAACTGCTAAATTATAATTATACCAATAGGCTGTAAGATTTATTTTCCTTTTGGCTAAATCATTTTTGACAACAAAATCAAGCAATGATTCAGCTTGGCTGAGCGTATGAGCATCTGCAAGTATTGACTGCAAAGTCATTTTTACCGGAGCCGGGAGCTACCGGTGCCCATGCCACCAATGATGTACTGACATATGTAAAGTTGTGGGACCATATGCATGTATATATGAAAGTATTTGATGGAGAGCACCTTTTGTATCTCTGATTTTAGTCAAATCAATGTCAGGATAGTGTAGTGCCTTTTTACAGAGGTGGTACGCATGCAGCACTCTCTCCAACATATCCATTCATTTTCTCTTTGTTTAAAATTTTAGATGCCCAATATCTTCAACAGTAATGATCTATCACTGAATTTTTTTATATATTCAAATTCCTGAACACATGATCTTTAGAACAAGACCAATCTTGAATATGTTTAAACTAGTTTAATTTTTGCTATTTCAAGCATATCGAATTTTTAATTTCACTCATTTCAAATTTACTTATTCAAAATAATTGTAATCAGTATTGAAATGATTGAAACCGTTTTCTGAAGAAAACAGTCATGCATATGAAACATATTTCAACGTGAACTTGTTATTTCAGATATGCGACACTAGTGAAATATATTTTTTGAAATGAGTGAAATCAAGTTTCTGAAATAAGTGAAATACTTTTTCTTAATTCAGTGAAACCAATGTTTTGAAATAAGAGAAATTGTATTTTTATAAATGAGTGAAATCTATTTTATCAAGGGAGTGAAATTGTTTTTTCAATTGATAACTTTCGAATTGTGTGAAATAGGTTTCTTGAAATAATTGAAATCAGTTCTTTGCGTCGAGTGAAATCAATTTCGAATATGTTTTCTCAACTGAGTGAAATATGTTTTCACATCTGAGTAAAATTATTTTCTTCATATGAATGAAATATGTTTCTTCAGATGAGTGAAATTGGTTTTTTAAACATAAAGAAATGAGTTTTTTAATGATTGAAATCAACTTTCTGAAATAAGTGAAATATGTTCTTTAATTCAGTGAAACCAATGTTTTGAAATAAGTGAAAATGTATTTTTATAAATGAGCGAAATCTGTTTTATGAAGCGAGTGAAATTGTTTTTTCAATTGATAACTTTGTGAACTGTGTAAAATAGGTTTTTCGAAATAATTGAAATCAGTTCCTTGCACCGAGTATCAAATGAGAGAAATTAGCTTTTGAAAATTATTAAAACATGTTTTTCTTTCAATTGGAACGACTAAAATCAGTTGTATCAAATGAGTGAAATCAGCTTTTAAAATGAGTGAAATAAATTTTGAATGAGCCTAAATCCATTTTTTAAAATGTGTAAAATAAATATCAGTTCACAGCGAAACAATTTTGTGTTTCATGAAAGTCATTTCAAAGGTAACTGAAATATATAAAATAAAAAGTAGTTTAAATATATTCAAGATTGATCTTGTTTTGAAGATCTTGTCATCATGATTCCAAATATATAAAAAGTTTCAAAAATGGTCATTTTGTTTAATAGATATCAATCATTCAAAATATGAGGATGAAATTAAATACATGTCAATTGTATGGAGAGAGAACGCATGCAGCGCCGTGTATGTGGTGAGAGAATGCATGCATGCACTGTTCTCTGTACTCCGTCCCTCTCTCCTATGTAAAAGCTGACACTGTCTGACGCAAGTATAAGTATAGCTCTGTTTAATCTGTTGTATTTGCATATGAAAAAAATGTATAAAACCTGCACGAATCTTGACGAAAGTGGCGAACAGTGGATTGCACATTGGTACATCCCGTCACCGGTAAAAAAACTTTTTCGAAGTATTGACACTATGATGTCATTCGGCTTTGGAAGACGTAGGAAGTCCTTGCTCTGACACGAAGCCCACCTGTACCTGGATCGGCCTAGCACCATCGCAGGGAGATAGCTATTGACATGGTGCACACGGGCAACACATCCAAGACAGCACGCGCCATCCAGGTACTGGTCATGTGGGAGCTATGGAAGCATCGGAATTTAATTGTGTTTGTAGGAAAAAGTCCGGACATGCGACATGTGCTACGGAGGATAGAATCAGAAGGCGTGATCTGGAAGCAGGCAGGCACACACTGATCTTCAGATTCTTCCTGTAGAAGTAGATGGGTGGGCCAAGGGTGAGTAATCCACCTAGGGGATCTCACGGTGGCGTTGTTGTAAACACCATGTAAATATTTGCGGATGGGGCACTTCCCCCTTTCCCTTCTATTAATATATGATATGCACATTCTTTGAGAAAAAAACTTTTGCTGCACTGTGTCCAAAACCGATCAAAATGTCAAAAATTCCTCATGCTTCAACCGCGAAGCACGCCAGAACCTACTGATGGCTCGGGGGAGAGCCGGCCAAGCTTAAGAGCATCACCCAAGCTGCAATTCCCTTCAAAAGCGTCCCTTCCATTGTCAAAAATGAAAGAGCACCTGGATATAATCAATTTACCATGAACATCAACCTCACACTTCTCCCCATTTTCATGCTCAACACTAAATCCGGCTTCCTCTGAAGCTCCCACAATGGTAGTTGCACAGAGATGTGCATTCTTTCTTCCCCAATAAGTAATAGTTCACCAATATGATGATCTTGGGCTCTCTTTTTAGGCTCAAGTGGAACTGGTTTTGAAGAAAAAATAGCACTGACAGGAACATTAATGTCATTCTGGAGCTAAGAAGCTCTCCCTCACACATCTTGGATGACAGAGGTCCTAGTCTGATAATGAGGTCAACACGTCGGAGGTCCAAGGTTGACATAGATAGGCAGAAACTGGTAG